AAAAGAAGTTTCAAGGGAAAGCTTTTTGTGGCTTTGTCTACTGTGCTCAGGAATGGGATGAGCCTAGGGTACCAAGCTTAGCTTGTCAACAGGTGTTGTAGTGCTTTTTTTTTTATGACAAGTAAGGTATCATTTTTGCAATAAAAAAGGAGGGAAAGGCTCCCTTAACAGAGCACTTACAAGTGTGTAAAGTCTGTACAAAAAGAAGATGGAAGATACAAAACCATTCCAGATTTAAAACATCAAAGTTATCATAAAAAGCAATTACCCTCCCAGTGGGAACACAAATGCTGGTATTTAAGATGCTGGATTCTCTTATGCAGCAGACTCAGCCAATGATGGTCCTTTATATCCTCCCTATAACAGCTTCCAAAGGATGTGCAGCATTATCAAAGACCCTACTGTTGCATTCTTTCTAATAGGCTCCAATGCCTATAGGCATTGCAATTATTTTATCCTTCTCCTCCACCACCTCACCATTTATCACCAGCCCTTTTATGGAGTTTTCCCTTCTTCTAGCAGATGCCATTYTATGGAAAATTTTGGTGTTATTTTCACCTTCTTTTAGCCAAAGACACTTGGCTCTTTGTCTCTGCTTCATCTCCTCTTGAAAAGCCACCTTGTCAAATTCCATCTTAGCAGTTAATCTTCTCTTCTCCTCTTGTGACCTTCCTCCACTGCCCTATCTACTTGTATTGTTTCCAGACACTTATTATTTTTTTCCCTGTTCCAGCCCCTTGAAAACTTCAGTTCTYCACACCTTTATTTTTTCTTATAGTGTTTTCAGTTTTTTTTTTTCTGAAAATATGACTGGCTGAACCTTCCACCTGTGTTTCTTCCACTTTCTCACCTGTTCAACAAAACCTTCTTCTTGCAGACATAGATTTTCAAACCTGAATGGCAATGGTTTTGATTGAATTCCTTTGCAGTCCACATACTGGTGCATGATCTAATAGAAGTCTTGGCAAAGCCTCAAGAGAGATGTTTGGAAAAATTTCTTCCACCCTGTAGAAATCACAAAGAGGTCCAGTTTCACCAATGTTGCCTCTTCCTGATTATTTGTCCAAGTGTATTTATCGCCTGTTAGAGGCAAATCCGCCAGTTCCCATTTGTTCTTTTTTTTTTTTTTGAAAAGGTAAAGTGTTCTATTCAGTATGAGCTGTAAAAAGACTGTACAAGAGGCTATACAAACAACCTTACAGCCCCCCAAAAAAGTTCACCCTCAAAAAAGCCCCAGAACAAAAAACATCTTTAAACAAATCAGAGCTAGACAACCAGCTTCTCAACTCTTCTACTACAAAGTTAATCACCCCAGCCTCAGTCCTGTTTTTTTGTTCAAAAATCCTATTGTTTCTTTCTATCCAGATTGCCCATAAAACAGCAGCTGGAACGGCAGACTATACTAGCTTTCCTTCCTTGGACATACGAAGAACTCTCCACCCTTGTAGCAAACCAAAGACTGATTCCGGCCAGCACCAACTCAGATTTATAGCTCTAAGGAAGTGCTGCCACACCTCTGCTGTGAAACCACAGTGTAAAAAAAGGTAATTTGCTGTTCCTGGAGCCAAATTGCACAAGGGACAGTTTAAATCTGATAAGTTGAAACCCTTCCTACTCAACATTCCTTTGGTGAGACATTTTCTTTTTGCGGCTACCCACAGAAAAAAAAAATGAATTTCAAAGGAGCTGCAGTCTCCCATATGTCTCTAGATGGGAAGGGCTGGCTGTTACTCCCCAGCAAGCCCAGATAGAAAGATTTGACAGTAAAACAACCAGATTTGGACCACAACCTGCATCTAGTATCCTCAGATTGCAGATCTGGGTGTTGTTCTTGAATCACGGAGAGCAGTTCAGCCACCTGATCCAATTCCCAGTCGTTGAAATTCCTTCTGAAAGCAGGGAACCAAACTAGAACCCCTTCCACCTGTGCAAAACAATCTGCAACCAACACCAAATTGTCTTCCTGCTTCATACAAAACAGGGAACCTTTCTTTTAGAGAGAAGTCACCACACCAAGGATCCAACCAGAACTTCAGTCGCCTACCATCTCCTACTTTATAAGAAATACCTCTGATGAAAAGAGTATAGTCTTTATCACCTTTCCATACACTACACCCAAAAGATTGCTGTGACCCTCCGACATCCCTACCATTTTCACTAAAACCATATTTTTTGGCTATTAACATCTTCCACAGCTCCTGACTCTCAGTGGAGAATCTCCAAAACCAGCTTCCCAAGAGAGCAAGGTTGAAGAGTTTCACCTTCCTAATCCCAAGCCCACCATGGGAAATGGGCTTGCATATTTCTTCCCATTTTACCAAGTGGTACTTCGAGGAGTCTTTCCACCTTTGCCACAGACAGTCCCTCATCTTTTTCTCAATCTTCACAGCCACCTCCGTGGGTATCAAGAAGAGAGACAAATAGTAGGTTGGCAAGCTGGCCAGAACACTCTTAACCAAAACCAATTTACCCCTTTGGAGAGATATCTAGCTTCCCACGAGGCAAGTTTTCTATCAACTCTTTCTAAAACGGGATTCCAAATGCTGCTTGAGTTGCTCTTTGCCCCTAAGGGAAGACCAAGGTAAGAGGAGGGGAATTTACCTGTTTTACACCCCAATACTTCAGCCAACTCTTCAAGATCCGAGATGGTCCCAACTGGTAGCATTTCACTTTTAGAGAAGTTAACTTTCAGACCTGACACCACCTCAAACCATCTCAAAAGGAAGCGGAGATTAAGGACCTTCTCCGGAGAAGCCTCACAAAAAAATAGTGTCATCAGCATACTGCAGCAATGAGACTCTTGTACCTCCAGGACTGATCTCAAAACCTCCCAGCAGGCCTGGTTCTGCCACTCTCTCAGTCATTTTGCTTAAGCCCTTCATTACTCTCAAGAACAGCAAAGGTGGCAGAGGGTCACCTTGTCTTAAACCCCTCGAAYTTCTGAACTTGCCTCTAGCTGCCCCATTGATCAAAACTGAGAAACTAGAGGTTGTGATACAAACTTTCATCCAGTTTCTCCATTTCTGCCCAAACTGCATTCTGTCCAACATGTAATCTAGATAAGCCCAGTTTACATGATCGTAAGCCTTCTCTAGGCCCACTTTACAAACCAGACCTGTCTCCCCATTCCTCTCAAAAGCCACACCGAAGTATGGAATTCCTTAAAGACTTTTTAGAAAATCTTGTTTGACTAGCTCCCAATATTTTTTAAAGAAACAGATGGTAAAACCATCGGATCCAGGAGCCTTCTCCCCTTCCAGCTCATCCACAGCTTTCTTGATTTCAACCTCTGAGAAAGGCTTTTCCAGCTCTTCTGCCTCTTGCCCAGAAAGGCTTTTGAAACTCAGCCCCTCTGGCTTTGGCCTAAATCTGCACTGTTCTTTGTATAAGTTCTCATAGAAACTGACAGTAGCCTTCTCAATTTCTCCTTTCTCTTCCACCTCACAACCATATATGAGACTATGACCAGCCTCGAAATTGAGTTAACTCTCCGTCTTGCATTGGCCATTTTGTGGAAGAAGGCAGTATTACTGTCGCCTGCCTTTAACCACTTGATTCTTGATCTTTGCCTCCACTTGATCTCCTCCTGAAAAGCCAACACATCAAAATTCTTTTTAACAAGCAACCTTTTCAGCCTTTGGTCTTCCCCCAAGGTACCTGCTTCTTCCAGAAGGTCCAGTTCCTTAATGATCTTCAGACATTCAGCTTTTTTGATTTCATCAGCTTTCTGGCTATCCTTTTGCCACTCCTTTATTTTGCTTTTAAGCCATTGGAGCTTCTTGCTTAAGACATGACTTGCAGTGCCTTCAAAAGAAGCTTCAGCCCACCACCTCTTGACAAAGGAATCAAATGTTCCTCTCCCAGCCAACAGTGCTCCAGCCTAAAAGGTTGACCCTGTCTTCTAATTCCATTTATGTTTAGCTGCAAGGGCACATGGTCTGAAACTGGTCTCAGAAGTGCTTGAATCGAATTGGGAAAGAGTTCCTCCCATTCATTGGAAATTACAAACCTATCCAATCTGACCAGAGAAGGCTGCTCTTGGTTGTTAGTCCAAGTATATGACGCCCCGGCCAGAGGCAGATCAATCAACTCCCATTTCTGCATGAAATCTGAAAATAACTGCATACCTCTATCTGATCTAGTGCTGTCCTTTTTGTCTTCCACCCTTAGGATGGCATTGAAATCCCCACCAATTGTCCAGGGTCCACTCCACTTCCTTCTCACACCCTCTAGCTCCGCCCAGAAAGTTTCTTTTAGGCTGGACTCAAYGGGGCCATAAACTCCTGTCACAACCAAAGAAACATCAGATGGGATCCAGTGCAGTCTAACTGAAACAGAAAATCTGCCAGCCTCTTTGTCTAGCTGCTTAAAGCTGCTTGTGTTCCAAATTACAGCTACACCGCCAGCAGTGTTAACTGACGGTAGTGACA